CTTACACCAGAACATCCCAGACTCTGGGTATATGGATGCCAGGGGCTGGGGTGAACCTTCCACCAGAACACTGGCATTATAGGCCTGAGCCACCTTGTCCAACATACCTATATTTTAGGCAAGTCACCTAATTGCTGATTTGGGTTGTAGAAGACTGCCTACTTTCCCCACATCCGTGTTGCATCCTGTCTGGCTATTCCTCCTAGTCCCTCTTTTTCCCTTCATCCTTCATCCACTCTTCTGTTTCCCTTCAGAAAAGAGCAGGCCTCCCATGGATATTAACCAAAACATGGTTACAATAAGACTAGGCATCTACCCTCATATTAAGGCTGGATAAAACAACCAGTAGGAGGAAAAGGGCCCCAAAAGTAGGCAACAAGAGTTAGACACCCTCACTTCCATTGTTAGGAGTCTCACAAGAACACAAAGCTACACAACTATAACATTCAGAGGGCCTACGCAGGTTCCCTGGTAGTGGGTTCAGACTCTGGGCGCCTAGGAGCCCTGGTAAGTTGATACTAAGGATTTTCTTGTGGAGGACAGTCTTAAATGTGGTGTAGCTGAGTCAATCAATCTTGGGAGGCTGGTGAGAATGGGTCACCTGTTTCATACTGCCTGCTTTGTGGCTGGCAGCTCTTTGTTCTTCCGTGGAAGGCCTGTGTCTTTCTAACTTTGCCAACAGGTCCTTGGGTGAGATTTCTTGGGCCTCATGATCATAGTGAGATGGGATTTTCTGTTTGTGCAGGGACAGTTGAGAACAGAGAGAAGTTGCTGTGTCTGTGGCATGGTCTGCATGGTTTTGGGAAGCATAGGCCCAGCTACAGAACACTCTTCTAGGTAAATAGTTTGGAAATCCAGAGAGGTTGTAGGGAGCCTAGGAGGGTGCTAGGCTGCTGCAGAAGTGTGTTGGGGGACCAATTTAGGTTGGGACACAAGGTGGGCCAGAATCAGGAGTTACCCTGAACTCTGTGTCGTGCTGACTGGTGATTTCAGTGCTTGCCAGTCAGCATGTGTGTCTGCTTTGTAAGGGACACTGAAGACTTGGGTAGCAGAGCTGGGCCACCAGCCCTCGCCATCTGCAGCTGGGGCAGATGCCAGGCCCTCTCATGAATTCAAATGGTCGTGGCCGTTCCTACCAGTGCTGTCCCTGCTTTCAGCTCAGACCTCAGGCCAGAACATCCCTCAGGACCTGGGATGAAGGCTTTTGTGTACAAGTATGGGAGTCTGTGCTGGACCAAGCAAGAGGATATTGGCTTGAGAGAGCTTGAATGGGACTTCTTGAGACAGCCTTGGAGGAGGGCGAAAGGCTCCTGAGGCTGCAGAATCCGGGCCTGCTACTGCCCTGACCCTCAGGCTTTCTGGCTTGGTCAGAGCTCTGGAATATGATGGATCCAGGCCTCATTCTGTCGTCCAAGCTTCTGTTCAGTGGTGTTCAGCCTCCCAGTCTATAGCTCCTTGATGGGGTAACCAGGTAAAATTCGGGTAATCAGATTCCCATGACATACAAACTATACACTGTGCTCTGTATTACCAAGAATTACATTTCTGCTGAAAATGGCTTATTGCGCTGCTACTCTGACCCTCTGGGCTTTGTCTTTTTGTTCGCTTCATCCAGTGGCCCCAACCAGGTAGTCATCAAAGACTGGCATTACCTGGATCCAGGCCTTGTGGTTGGAATGAGGCATGATGGGAGTTGTGACTTGAGGGGGATGTGTAGAGCCTCTGTAGGTTTCCAGAGACACACTCATGGGGTGGTGGTGGGGCAAACTGAGAGCAGGTAGTCCACTGTGGTCGTGATTCACTCTCTGCTTCTGTGGGGCTCTGACCATTAGACAGCTGTCATGTCAGGAGGGATGTGTAATGGTAACGGGAGCACCAAGGTATCTCTACCTCAACAGACTCAGCCCTCATCTGCCTACGGCCAGCCCCTCAGTATGGTACTAGGTCCTGAGCAGCAGCAGGGAAGGAGGTAGCCATGTCTGAAGAAGAGGTGTGTGGGAACTGAAGCAAGACATCTGTCCTGTGTCTGAGAGCAGTGCAATACTGCTCCATTACCCACTGTTACACTTGTGCCCTGCTCAGCCATCCCTGGTCCTGGCATGCTGGTGGTGTGTGCATTGTCCAGCCACTGCCTCCTGGTGCTTTGCTCATGCAGGCAATGGGCAGGGGATGCCTGCCCCTGTAGGTGATTGGCTATGGGGTGAGGGAGCAGGGACAGCAGAAAGCCAGCTCCGCAGTGCAGTGCATCCGGTACCACTCGGCAGGCTACCCTCTGCTTGCTTTTTGGTGTGTGTGACCCTATTTCTAACTGCTGATTTCCTGAGGACCGAGGCTGTAGGGTCTGTCTGCCGGGATGCATCCCAGTTTCCTGCCTTGGACTGCATCTTGCTTGGGTCAGGTTGTGGGGGACCCTGACCCTGACTGTGGCAAGGGAAGCACTGAAACAGCCTCCAGGTCCCCAGAGAAATGGGGAGCCAAGGCTGTGTGCATGTGGGTGGTGTCACTTCCCAGGTCCAGCGCAGCATTCCCTCAGAGACACTGACTGACGCCTCAGTAACCATGAGTTTCCCAGGGCCAGAGCTAGCCCTGAGCTCCATTGCCCCGGGCCAGCAGTGCCCTGTGGGAACAGGAAGCTAGCAAGATAGCAGGACTAGTGAAGTCTGTGCCCCAGGGGAAGGCCAGGCTCCTAGCCCAAGCTCTCTCTACTGGATAGGCAGCTTGGCCCAGCATGGTCTGGTGGGAGAATTCTGCTAGGGAAATTCCTCTCACTGTGTACTCATGCTAGTAATGGATTAGGAGCCATGACCCCAATCCTAACCTTAATCCTAATTTTTGCCACCTCCACAAGGTTTTAATGCTGATACTGCCCAAGGATTTTAACAACTGACCCAAATCCTCCAGAGAGGGGAAGGGTGGGAGAAACAGTCCATGAAAGTTCATCTCTCCCACAGCCTCCCTGCTTATCCAGGCTCCTGCTCCTCTAACCCCCTCCATTCATCCCCTCTAGCCTCACGCTCCACCTCCCTCACACCCCTCAGGCCCCAACCCTCCTCCAGTCCCTGTTTCCTCCATCAATACCCTCCATTCTCACTCGTTCAGCCTCATCCCTCCTCCAGTGCATTCTCTCACCCTTCTCCAGCTTCCTCCTTCCTGTTTACCCTCCTCCAGCTTCCTCCCTCCTCCCACTCATTCCCCTCCAGCTTCCTCCCTGCTCTTGTTCACCCTCCTCCTATTAGTCCTCCTCAGGTAGTCACATCCCTTTTCCTTCCGTATCCTTTCCAGCCCCCTCTTCTACTCAAACGTCTCCAGTTTCTCCCTCCTCTAGTATTCCTCCCTTCCAGCTGCAGTCCTCCTCCTATCCACTCTCTTCCAGCCTCCTTCCCTTAGGAGCCTCCCTGCCCCATCTCCCTCTCCTTGCCCAGTGCCCGTCTCTTCCATCACTTCCTCTTTTCTGGCTCTCCTCTCAGTAGCCATTCAGTAAGGGACCCTAGCATATTTATTTACACAACTGCAATGTTAGCCTGACCTGTGAAGACGTTGTTATGGTTAGGTCACAGGTAAACAGAGGTTAAAAGCGGACAGGAAGGATGCTACCATTCATTTGACTTGTCAGGAGTCAGGAGACACACCACACATGTTGCAGTGTTGCAGGCAGAACCCTAGTACCTCTTGGGTCATGGCTCTAGACATACTGGTAGATGGTTTGAATGAATGCTGGAGTGGGGGAGCTCTGCTCAGAGTGCCCTCAGGTAGAGTCCTGCCAATCAGAGCCCAGTTTACCAAGGGATGCCCTTGTCTTTAAAGGGTCAGGCCTGTGGCATAGGTGTGGGGGATGGACATGGAACAAGATCTGGAGCCAGGTTTCTGCACAGTCCTTGCCCAGCCCCGCAGTTCGCAGGTTACTATGTGCTGAAGGAGCTGCCTATCAACTTCATAGGACACTTCTAGGGTGCAGGAACTCTCCTCTACCCACGAACAGGTCACTGTGCACGCGCTGCCTCCTCCCAGCACCAAAGAGCAGGCACCTGGGTTCTCTCAGGACCGCTCTACCCTCGATGACATCCCACAGGAGCAGGTCAGCAGTAATTCAGTGCTTTCATCCAGGACCTGTCCTTCTGCCCTCGGCTGATGGTGGCTATGAATGTGCCCTAGTGGAACCCTCAAGGAGCTAGCTGTGATGATCTCTGGAGTGGAGGCTTCATGCAGTGGTCACAGTCCGCAGTGAGCATTGAGAGCCTGGACTTCCTTTCCTGAGTCCACAACTCTTGGCTCTTAAGTGTTCCCAGCCCTGGGTTCCAGGACACCCTCGGGACAGGGTAGCCTGGGGCTCATTCATGGGTCAACCTCAGATTCTCTGTGGTGGTCGGTCCAGAGTAGACACAGCAGGGGCATGATCCTGACTCAGAACCTCCCACCTCGAAGTGTCAAGGAACCTTTTAACCTGGCGGGGACTGCAAGAGGCTAGCTTAGAGAGAACATGGATCTCTGCCTGAGCTGGGTCACCCCATGCTGCAGTGCTTATTGGTTTTAGAGGTGTCAGGGTGTCCTGTTCAGGTGCTCTCCCTTGGAAAGGCTGAGATCAACTCCTGAGTGCTGCCCAGGTGGCTGTCGGCCTGCCCTACCCACAACTCTGTATTACAACGGTAGAACCCCGCCCGAGTGCTGGGGGCACTTGGGTGACCTCCGGCCTACTAGTTAGAGATTTGGTGGCCCCTCCCAGCCAGAAAACTCCTTTCCAGCAGGGAGACTCCAGTTAAGCTTTGGAGCCCTATGCTCAGCCCGGAGATACCAGAAGGCCAGCCTGGAGACTTTTGCTTGTCCTGAGACCCCCTCCCAGCCCCGAAGCCCCTGCCCTCCAAGCCCGGATCAAGGTGGCAAGCACACCCCTCAGGGCCTCCGCCCTCTCCTGCCTGTCCCCCTCCTGCCTCCGCACTTTCTCTTTGTGCCACGCCTTACCCCAGCCCCGCCTCCGCCTCGCCCGGGCCCTTTCGTCTAGCCCAGCCCTTTCCCTGGGCCGGGCAGTCTCCACGGCCATGTGATCCTGAGGCTTCTGGGACGCTCCGGAACAGCTGGGAGAAGTGGGGGTCGCGGGGGTCGCGGGCGTCCCTGGGAGGGGGCGACATGGAGCGGAGGTGGGTCTTCGTGCTGCTGGACGTGCTGTGCGTGCTGGTTGGTAAGAGTCTCGGGACCCGGGTGCGGAAACTCTCTCCCAGGTTCACGCTCCCACGGTGCCTCCTTCCAGTGTGCGTTCGGGATGCGGACAATGGTGACCGGTGACCAGTACTTCCCACTTCTTTCTGCGAGTCCTGCCATTCCTCCTGGGTGCTTGGCGGGATCCGGCCTGTGTCTACCTGTGGCTGTTCCCGTATTTGTGTGTGTATTTGTGTGTGTGTGTGTGTGTGTGTGTGTGTGTGTGTGTTGCAGGGGGAGGGGGCTCCCGGGTCCCGGCAGCAGGAAGTTGCTCGAGTGCCTCGGGGCGGCGTGACTCACACGGGCGGGGCGGCACCAGGACCCTGCAGGCCAGTGACCGGTGGCCAAGGTCCAGCACGGTGCCCCCGGGAGGCGGGGACGGCTAGGCTCACACAGACAAACCTGCCAGTCCGGTTCAGGCCGCGGGGAGGAGCATTCCGAACCCCCCCAGGCGCGAACAAAGGCCAAGTGTTTGTTCGGGGGCCCAGGGGACAGTGGATGGATCCTGCCCCGAAGGCTGTGGCAGGGTGTCTGTCGTCTGTCTTCCCCCATTCTGCATCTCCGGCTAGGTCCACCTTCCATAGCCTGGAAGGATACTCTACTTAGCTTTGCCTTTTGGCAGCCCAGGAGATCCCGTGGGACATCCCCGAGCCTTGGGCACCCTTTTTGACTGTATGGGTTTATTAAAACATGTCTGTTGCTTTAACTGTGTGCCAGGTACTGGAGGACTTGGAAATAGTTTACATTTTTCCATGGAAAGTCCTGGGTCCCTAGAGGCGGAGCTACCGGGAGTCACAGCAGGAGGAGGAGACCAATGCCAGCCTGTTGTTACCCTTAGTCAGCACAGGCTTTGGATGCTGGTAGGGAGGCCCTGCCAGTCCCAGTGAAGGCTTGCCTGTTGGTGGGACAGCATCCCTTAAGGATGCCCACGGAAGGTGGAAGGAGAGGAGGGTTCGCAGCTGGGAGTCAGTGTCCTGGCCCACACCGGCTGGGCCTAGCCATGCTTGCAGCTGTCCTTGTGCGTGTGGTCTTCCTGGGATGTCCATTAAGCAATCTGGCTGAATCCCGTTGTCTCCCATTATGCTATCACCAGACCCTTAACTTTGCCTTCTCCCATGAACATGATAAGGGATTTCCTCTGACCTCATCTGTTTCCTCTCATCCTCCCCCTCCCTTTTTACTCTCTTTGATCCTCTCCCCTCCTTCTCCCTCTTTCTCCTCTCTGATTATCTTTCAGCCTCTCCCCTGCTCTCACCCCCTCTCCCCTGTTCTCCCCCTCTCCCCGCTCTCACCCCCTCTCCCCTGTTCTTCCCCTCTCCCCTGCTCTCACCCTCTCCCCTGCTCTCACCCCCTCTCCCTGCTCTCATCCCCTCTCCCCTGCTCTCACCCCCTCTGCTCTCACCCTCTCCCTGCTCTCACCCTCTCCCCTGCTCTCACCCCCTCTCCCCTGCTCTTACCCCCTCTCCTCTGCTCTCAACCCTCATCCCTGCTCTCACCCTCTCCCCTGCTCTCACCCTCTCCCCTGCTCTCACCCTCTCCCCTGCTCTCACCCTCTCCCCTGCTCTCACCCTCTCCCCTGCTCTCACCCCTCTCCCCTGCTCTCACCCTCTCCCCTGCTCTCACCCTCTCCCCTGCTCTCACCCCTCTCCCCTGCTCTCACCCCCCTCTCCCCTGCTCTCACCCCCTCTCCCCTGCTCTCACCCCCCTCTCCCCCTGCTCTCACCCTCTCCCCTGCTCACACCCCCCTCTCCCCTGCTCTCACCCTCCTCCCCTGCTCTCACCCCCACCCCTGCTCTCACCCCCTCTCCCCTGCTCTCACCCCCCTCTCCCCTGCTCTCACCCTCTCCCCTGCTCTCACCCCTCTCCCCTGCTCTCACCCTCTCCCCTGCTCTCACCCCCTCTCCCCTGCTCTCACCCCCCTCTCCCCTGCTCTCACCCCCTCTCCCTGTTCTCACCCCCTCTCCCCTGCTCTCACCCTCTCCCCTGCTCTCACCCCCTCATCCCTGCTCTCATCCCCTCTCCCCTGATCTCACCCCCCTCTCCCCTGCTCTCACCCCCTCTCCCTGCTCTCATCCCCTCTCCCCTGCTCTCACCCCCCCTCTGCTCTCACCCCCCTCCCCCTGCTCTCACCCCCTCTCCCCTGTTCTCACCCTTCTTTTCTCCCCCATGGCTATCTCACCTTGTCCTCTGACCTCTCTCCTTCAGGCCTCTCTCACTGTCATGAACCCTGGCTCCTCCCAGGGGACACTGTGTCTGTCACCCTTGTTTCATGATGTTAGCTACACCTCTTAGCTTCACGATGGTGGCACCTTCCTAGATCATGTGCCCTCGGGTCCAGCCCGTGTCAGGGGCTGCTTTCTGGGCCCCTCTGCTTCCCCTTTGCAAACTGAAGGGAGGCTCATCTCCTTGTGTTCTGCTGGCATTCAGAACCCGAAAGCCACACCCACCACACCCAGCTTCCCTGCTCACAGGCGAAGGGTACTCGCCCAGGTTTGCCTATTTGGGGTGTTTGTGTGCCTGTGGAACAAGACGCTACCCACTGTCCTACTCTTGTGACTGGCTCTCACCTCCCAGCTGCCCTTGGTTGGAGGCTCCGGGTTGCAGCTTTGTTTAGAGCTTTACTGCCAGGTTATTTTCCAAGAGTGTCTGTGTCTCTGGGCTTTGGTCTGAGTTTCCTGAATATCCAGTGTGTAGCTGGCATTGGCTTTGGCTCAGAACTTGGAATGAAGGCAAAAAAAAAAAAAAAAAAAAAAAAAAAAAAAAGAAAGAAAGAAGCAGAGAGAGACTCAGGTTTGGAGAGATGGCTCAGCACTTAAGAGCACTGACTGCTCTTCCAGAGGACCCACGTTCAATTCCTAGCACTCATGTGGCAGCACACAACTGTCTATAACATATAGGCAAAACACCAACACACAGTAAAAAGACCAGATACTTTAGGGATGGCCCTCTGGCTAGCCCCTTGCTATGGGTGACAGCCCCACAGTCCTCTGGTCTAGCTTTGTGTCACTAGATGAGCTTCCCTACCTTCCCAGGCAGTGAGCAATCTCCAGGGCTCTACCCAGAACACACCCTTGCAGGTGTCCCTATGCAGATGGGACAGTCCAAACAACTGTCACTAAGGTGACCATGTGATTCTACAGGGGACAGAGCCATGGAGAGCAACAGTGACTCCATCCGTGGGTGGCTCATCAGGAGGAGTGCTGGAATGAGATGGAAGGGAGTCACTGTGCTTGTAGCGTGTGTGCGTGCGTGCGTATGTGTGTGTGTGTAGAGGTTCTGGTCGATGGTGTTGAGTCCGCTCAAGGGAGGCCTGAAGTGAGGCTGGAGTGCAGCAGGGTAGAGCTGCTCAGTGGCTGGGCTCCAACAAGCCAGCTCATGCACCAGGTTTGTATCATGGCCCCTCGGATAATCCAAGCTTCACAACTGTCTCCCACATACAGAGGGCCCAGTTCGGTTCCCTGGAGTCTCCCCAGCTGTCAGTCCAGAGTTCATGAGTTTCCACGAGCTTGGTGCAGCTGTCTCTGTAGATTTCTCCATCATGATCTTGACCTCCCTTGCTCATATGTTCCCCCCTCTCTCTTCTATTGGATTCTCAGAGCTTGGCTTGCTGCTTGGTTGTGGATCTCTGTGTCTGGGTTCCATCAATTACTTGTTGAAGGCTCTACGGTGATAGTTGGGGATGTCGACTCCTCATGGGAGACCTTACCCAGGAGGAGGAGTGGACTAGGGGTGGGCTGGGGGGAGGTAAAGGAGGGTGGGGGGGAGAGGTGGGAGGGAGAACTGTGGTTGGAATGTAAAATGAAAAAAAAAAAAAGGCACTGGAGTATTTTCCAATAGGGTCATGGCAGAGCAGCCACAGAACAGATAACATGTGGGTAGAAATTTGCACTGTGGAGAACCGTGTACTCTCCCTGCCTTCCCACAGCTTCCCTGCCCTTCATCATCCTGACCCTGGTGAACACACCATACAAACGAGGGTTCTACTGTGGAGATGACTCCATCCGGTACCCGTACCGTCCAGACACAATCACCCATGGACTCATGGCCGGGGTCATCATCACAGCCACTGTCATCCTTGTAAGGCAGAAAAGTGCTTGGGTGGGGGCTGGGTCAGCTCTGCTCTGAGGTATGTAGGGCTCAGCTCCCCAGCTAGATGGGTACAGTGGGAGCGGTGTCTGCCCAGTGCTCTGCAAGTGTCCCATTGGCAGGTCTCATCGGGGGAGGCCTACCTGGTGTACACAGAGCGTCTCTATTCTCGCTCCGACTTCAACAACTATGTGGCTGCCATCTACAAGGTGTTGGGGACCTTCCTGTTTGGGGCTGCCGTGAGCCAGTCTCTGACCGACCTGGCCAAGTACATGATCGGCCGTCTGCGACCCAGCTTCTTGGCTGTCTGTGACCCTGACTGGAGCCGGGTCAACTGCTCTGGCTATGTGCAGCTGGAAGTGTGCAGGGGCAGCCCTGCCAATGTCACTGAAGCCAGGTGAGTACTAGCTGCAGCCCAGGCAAGGCTCTGAGGGACAAGAAGTCTGGAGCCTGGTGAACGGAGAAAACTTATTGGGTAGGCAGCCAGGGAAGGTGGCCGTGGTTTTTCCTCAGTGTCTTTGACAGGGCAGGTACATAAATGGGCAGGGTTCATTTGTGTGGGAGGCAGTAGCCTGCCCTGCAGAGGCATGTGCTGAGGGATCTACTGTGACTGAGCTGTTGCCTCCTTGGGGTCCTCTGTGGTGAGCTTGTATGCTGTTACTACCATTTCCCTTCTTGTCCTGCTCTTCTGAGCCCTGTTGTTGATGCTTGATGTGGCCTGTGTGTCCCACACCCTGGCTGTGTAGTCTTTGCTGAGCCCTCTATCTGTTAGCTCTGATCAGCCATCAGGCCTTCCAGACCTTTTCACTTTCAATACTATTGGCATTTTCACATCCATAATGCAGTTTTAGATTTTTGAGGCAGCCCAGAATGCCCTCAAACTTCTTGTCTTCTTACCTCAGTCTCCTGAGTGCTGGGGTGATGGGCTTGTGTCCCCAAGGCCTGCATGAGATGTATTCTTGGCATCTGTCCCTTCTTTCTGTCCTCACAGATGTTCTTATCTCTGGATGTGTTCAGTGCCTAGTTGTAGTGTCTGTTCCCTAAGGTTGGCACCTGTGTCTCCTCATGGACTGCTGTGTGTGTGTGTCCACATATGTGTGTCGACCAACAATCAGTCAATTGCTCTCCACCATATATACATATGTATTTATGTGTATATGTGTTTTCCTGCATGTATGTATGTACATCACTTTCATGCAGGAGCCCATGGAGGTCTGAAGAGGGCATCAGATCCCCTTGAACTAGAGTTACAAGTGGTTGTCAGCTGCTGTGTGGGGGTTGGGAACTGAATCCTGGTCCTCTGCAAGGGCAGTAAGTGCTCTTAACCCCAGATCTGCATCTCCGGTCCTTCTCCACATTTATTTTAAGACAAGGTCTCTCACTGAATCTGGAGCAGTACAGTTCTAGAGTGGCCCAGAAGACCCAGGGATCCTTCTGTCCTCAGCTCCCCAGTCCCGGGATTCCAGGCATGTACCACACACTGCAGACATGCGCCACCCACTATGGATACCCACCACACGCTACAGACACGCATGCAGCATACACCTCACTTCTTACACAAGTGTTAGGAATGGAACTCAGATCCTCGTATTTGCTAAGCAGGCATGTTATTCACTGACCATCTCAGCAGGTTCTTAGACAGCTTCTGTTTATTAGCCATGCTATGTGTGTGCAGGCATGTTTTCTCTGCAAGCACACAAGTCTTTTTAACATCAAGATACAGGGGAAAATGGACAGTGCGAGCACCATTTATTTAGTGGACAGCCATGTTGTCATGAGGGTCTGTGGTCAGCAGGATTGGGCATCCATTTTCTTGTTTTCTGGGTGCTGGGGTGGAGCTAGGGGCTCTGCCTTAGTCTTATTTTGTCTGCCAAGATTGTGGGAGCTCTGAGGATGCCTGGTCCTTCTGAGCTTCCCAAGCATAGCTGCCAGGCTGCTGCTTGAGCTCTGAGGCAGTAGTGACTAATATCTTTATAAGGTGAGGTGATGGTCAGTACCTCAGACCACCTGTAGCCACGATAGTGGCAGTACTGAGTGACTGCCACCCACAGTGTGGTCCTGCTGGCTGTGCCGCTCCAGGAGTGGGTAGGGGGTTGGAGTTAGTGAAGTGAGAGTGAGGAGAGGAGATGGTTGCTCTCTGATGGAGTGTCCTGTGTGCAAGCCTCCCCTCAGGTTAAGAGGCTGGAGAGACAGCTCAGCAGTTAAGACCACTGGCTGCTCTTCCGGAGGATCTGGGTTAGATTCTCGGAATCCCCAAGGCAGCTCATAACCTTTTGTAACTTCTGATGCCCCCTTCTGGCCACTTGTAGACACTGCATGCATGTGGTACACAGCCGGAAACAAAATACCATATACATAAAAATGAGTAGATCTTAAAGATAATTTATTTTGTGTGTATATGCACATGCGCATGAGTGCAGGTGCCCTCAGAGTCGTCAGAACTCCTGGATTGTTGTGAGCAGCAGGATGTAGGTACTGGGAAGCGAACTTGGGTCCTGTGCAAAAGCAGTCAGGGCTTTAACTGCCGAGCCGTCTCTTTAGCCCTGCTTCCCATAGTTTAGCGTTGCTCCCCTCTGTGGCTGCCAGCTCCCCACGGAGCTCCTGGCTCTCCCTTCCGGCCCCGCTGACCAGCTGCCCTCCCTCCCAGGCTGTCCTTTTACTCCGGGCACTCCTCCTTTGGCATGTACTGCATGTTGTTCCTGGCGGTGAGTGTCTGCTTTCTTCCCAGGGAGCCTCACCCAGGCACCCCTTCCCTGGGCCTTGGTCTTCCCCACTGCACAATGGGGTATGTGGATGAAGCTCTGAGGGTGGGGGGGTTATGACTCTTGTGCTGGGCTGGGTAGGGTGTGGACACCCACGGGCCCAGCTGATGCGGGCTGATGCCCCGACAGCTATACGTGCAGGCCCGGCTCTGCTGGAAGTGGGCACGGCTGCTGAGGCCCACGGTTCAGTTCTTCTTGGTGGCCTTTGCAATCTATGTGGGCTACACCCGAGTGTCTGACCATAAGCACCACTGGAGTGATGTCCTCGTCGGCCTCCTGCAAGGAGCCCTGGTTGCCTGCCTCACGGTGAGCCCTGCCTGCCTCGTCCTATAGGACCTATCCTGACTAACCCCAATCTTCCCGTGACCTCTGCCTGCTGATCTGTACTCCCTCCCTGCCCCCCAGCTTTCCCACACCATTGGACCCATCTACTTTACAATCCTCTTTGGCTCTGTTCTCTGGTCTTCCTCTGGCTTTACTCATGGCCTGCCCCTCCCCCCCATAGGTCCGCTATGTTTCAGACTTCTTCAAATCAAGGCCGCCCCAGCCCTGCCAGGAGGATGAGGAACCCGAGCGCAAGCCTAGTCTGTCACTGACACTGACTCTCGGCGATGGACCTTAGCCACTATGAATACCCAGTCTCTTCCTGCTTTGGAAGCTGGGAAGCCACCTGCAGGCCAGCCCTGGTCAGGCACTACTGGCTTTGGAGCTGCCCCAGGGTCCCGTCTGGTGACCATTGACTAGGATCTTGGGTGCCTGGCTGGCTCTGAGTGTGGGCCAGGGTCCATCCAGGAACATATGCACACGTGTGTGCCCTAGGAACATATGCACATGGCCTCTAAAACATAAGGTCCTGCTCTGAGAGCTGTCTCTCACCACCAAGGGCTTTTCAAGGAGGGCCATCTCTGCATGGCCCCAGGAATGGACTGATCTGAGATGGTACATGAAGTCAGCACCCTCCCTGACAGTCCTACAGGCAGTGAACGAACCCCTTGTCTGCCTGGGTGGGGCAGTTGGCCAGGGCTTTGGGCAGGGATCACAAGTGTGAAAGAAGGATGCTAAACCTTGGGCTTCCTAGGAGCCTGGGTGGCCTGAAAGGTCATACGTGGCTTTGGGTCTGAACCCTGCAGAAGATTCCCACTCAAGGCCCCAAGCCCCTCCCTCAAGCTTGATGTCCAGTCCTGCCTCCACTCCAGATATGTAGCCAGGCTTTGGAAGTGGCTCCTGGGTCTGACATTCCCATCTATTTCAGGACACTTAAAGTTGTTTTTTCACGGGAGGGTGAGTTATAAACTTTGTACCAAATGTCTCTGCCATGAGTGTTGATTTTTAAGCTCTCCTGGTGTGATGGCCATGCTGCACCTGCCTTGTTCCCCAGTGTGATGTGTTTTAGCATTGACTTAGGGGATGGAAACCTGGCTTGGGTGTTTGTATACAGGCCAAGATGGAGGCCTTATATCCACTGTGGCCTTCCATGGTGTGTAATGGGCACTTCTGCCAGGTCCACTTTAGAACACAGAGACCCTTTGTGGACCATGTCACCAAGTGCCCGAAGATGCTCCCAGGGTGTCTTGCCAGTCTTCTAGAGGCATCAGGAGGGCTGACAGGCCTTGCTATATCCCAGAACAAGATGTGTGTCTTTCTGGGAATGGGCAGGCTCCTTGGGTACTCCTCAGGTCTTGGGTCAGAAAGCATGGAGGGGGACAGTTAGGAACACTCCCATTTCCTTCCTTTCACTAGAGGTTGGGTCAGGATTGGGTCACCATAATCCCAGATGCCATTGGCAGACACTGAAAGCCAGGGGCCCGTGGGGCTCAGCCCAACCAAGGGGGCATGCTGGGTGCCACAGTACTTGGTAGCTGAGTGTTAGGGGGACACAGTACTTGGTAGCTGGGTGTTCAGTGGCTGACACAGCCTGCTTTTCAATATTCTCTTGGGGGATGCTTTTGGTTAAATGCATGCCTGCCAGTGTTCCCCAGCCAGTGTCCCGTACACCAGGTTCCTATAGGAACTAGCTGGTCCATTACAGTCAGAAGGCCCCAGTGAGAGGGTGGCTTCATGTCCTGAGCATAGTAGGGCTCTGTTTGGCCAGCCAGCAGCTGAGCTGGGCCTCTTCCAGGCATCAATGTCTACCTGTCAGACTGTTGAAGAATTCAGCTTAACAAGCACAGTGGGTGTGGGGCACACATCTGTGACACTAGCACTGGGGAGGCTGAGGTAGGATGATATCTGGTGAGTGAGATCAGCCCGGGCTGACTCTTCTGTACATGTCCATGAGAGTTCAGGTTTGCCTGAATGTGGAGGTCAGAGGGTGACCTTAAGTGTCTATCCTTACATGTTTTCTGTTCTTTGTTTGAGACAAGGTCTCTCACTGGCTCAAACTCCACCAAGTAACCAGTGTTGTTATGCGTAGGTTTTTCTCGCTGGCCTAGTCCCACTGCCACACCAGCCCCAAATAACACACAGAGATGCTGTATTAGATATAATGCTGTTGGCCTGTAACTAGCATTTCTTATTGGCTAGCTCTGTCTTAAATATTAACCCATTTCTATTAATCCAAGTATTTCCACGTGGTCTTATCTTACTGGAGAGAGGGCCTGGAGTTCTACTCTGTTGGTCCTACATCTTGAAACTCCTTCCTACTACTTCCCACATCCTTGTCTCCTCATCCCGCCTATCTTGTTTTCCTATTGGCCAACAGTGCTTTATTCATTAACCAATAAGAGAAACATTTACGGAATGACAACCTATCATCTCCTCTTTTCTGTCTAAAATAAAAGAAGGGTTTTAACTATAATATAGTAAAATATATAACAGAACAGTTATGCAATAAGAACCACAGTTACTAATATTTAGTCCATTAACATTTAGCAAGAGTTAAAGAAAATATTTTATTATCTATCTTTGTGAGTCTAAAGTCCTATATGTAACTTATCTTTAACCCTAACTAAGGAAAACTATAACCATAACTATCTGTCCTCAATTCCTTCAAAGACCACAGAAGGATAATATATAAATTCTAGAAATGACAGAGACATTTTGCTCCTGATCAGTCACCTGAAGTTCTTTTGTAATGTTCCATCTTCAGTCTACCGTCCATAGTGTGTCTGGCAGACTCCTCAGCAAAAGCAGGAAACTAAACTGCCCACCTATATTAGCAGTTTTTCAGTCACTTTTCTCTGTGTCCTGCAGGATGTCTGGTAGACTCTTCCATGAAGCAGGAATCTTGTAGCAATGTCCATCTTTTATCAGCAGTCACTTTCATGTGGGTCCTGCATGCCCAGTTTATACAGCATAAAGTCAAACAGTCCAGGCAAGAGCAGTATCTTGCCCAAATGGCCAGTCTTGCCATATTGGAAATAAACTCCATAATGAGTTTCTTTGATGTCCATCTTCCTCTCTGACCCAGGTGGTGTTGCCAGGATCATTTATGTTTCATTGTCAAGAAAAACCCTAACCTATTCATGAGAATGCCTATTCATCTCAAATACATCTCTGTATATCTAGAAATCCTAACTAAAGTTTTGACTATTATAGGTAACTATAATCTGTACTAAATAATACATTACATTTCTTTTTTTGTTTTTTTTTGTTTTTGTAATTGTAATTTTTTAAATTTATTTTATATAACAAAGTCCATTTAAATGAAAACAAACATTTATAGACAATATTTGGGAATTTGGCCGTTGTTCTTTCCAAACTACTTCCTGCTGGTAAGGGGCGCTGTCATGGGGGATTCGAAGAAGATTCAGAAATCCTGGCTGAGGTCTGTAAGGCTGCTTAATACATTACATTTCTAAATGAGCTATATTAACACAATACCTAAACAAGAGAAGAAATATAAATATCATAAAATTGACCTTAAATTTGTGTTAACAAATGAAAATCCATTCATAACAAAGTATTCATATCTATACCATAATCTCCTTTTTACCTTTAAAGAGATTGTGGTTATTAACTATTTATAACTAACCCCATATAAATGAAAACATTTATAGACAATATTTGGGAATTTGGGCATCTTTCTTTCCAAACTGTTTCCTGCTGGTAGGGGACGCTGTCATGGGGATCCTAAGAAGACACAGAAATCGTGGCTGTAGTAGTCTGCAAGGCTGCCTTGTCCCAGCTGTTTTGAACGTTGGATCATCTGGGACACTGCTTCAGGGGTCTGGCTTGATCAAACCATGTTAGTCTGGAAGGAATCCACAGCTTTTCATTTTCTGTGGAAACAGAAATCCTTTTCCCCAGTAACCTGTCCTTAGACTTAAATTTGGAAGCCAAAGCATTTTTAAAATATGTAAGTTGGATTAATTTAGCAGCATTGATAATCAAGTGTATTGTAGCAATTATTTCTTCCTTAGCAATTGAGCAATTTAAAGATAACAGAATAGCATACAGTATCCATATTCTCTCTGGGCTTTCCATCTTTACATGACTTTTTTATTACAGGGTTTCCTCTGTGTAACTTTGGCTGCCCTGGAAATTACTCTGTATACCAGGTTCACTTTGAAATCACAGAGATCCACTTGCTTCTGCCTCCCGAGTACTGGAATTAAAGGCACTCTCTTTCTATTATTATCATTATCATTATTATTATTATTATTATTATTTTAAACCAGCTACTCATACACACCATTGAATTGTTAGCAGCACTACTTAAAGCTGTGCAGTTTTTTTGCTGCTTATGTTGAGTCAGGATATCTCCCTTAAAGGAGCCATGCAAATCTCTGCTTGTCTCTAGCAAAACAGAGTCTCAAGGTTACCTCTCTCTTGCAAATCTTGGCTTTTTTGGCTGAGGCTCAATAGCCTAGGTCAGACAGTCCAATAGCAGTGCTTTTGTTCCTTCCAAACAGTCTTGTTGGGTGGCTCCCACTAGAAATATGTTATCCACATACTGGAGGAGGGTCACCTGGGGGTGTTGGATCCTGAAGCTGGCCAGATCTTTATGAAGGGCCTCATCAAAGATGGCCAGGGAGTTTTTGAACCCTTGGGGCAGTCGGTTCCAGGTGAGCTGCCTGGTTCTGCCCGTGTTGTGGTCCCTCCATTCAAAGGCAAAAAGTGGTTGGCTGGTGGGATGTAACCTCAGGCAGAAAAAGGCGTCTTTTAGGTCTAAGGGGACTGCTCAGGCGGGAGGGTGCTCAGGAGTTATGAGGATTTGGGACAGTTGGATGTATGTCTTGCTCCCTTTTATTGACCTCTCTCAAGTCCTGCACTGGCCAATAATCATTGGTCCCAGGCTTCCTTTCCAGGGAGATTGAACAGGAACCAGGATGCCTTGCTGGATCAATCTTTGGATATGGGGTCAAATTCCTTCCCGAGCCTCTCTACTCATGGGGAACTGTTTGACTGATACTGGTGTGCACTAACTTTCAGCTGAATAGCCTGCAGTGCACTTGTTTCGCCAGACCCATTTCAGATACTTCAGCCCAAGCTAAGGGAGTTCGGGCCAACCACCAGTCCATATTGGAGGTTCCAGTCCCATCCGAACAGTGTAGGTCAAGCCCAGGCTCCTTGTGGAATCTGTACTCATCTTCTAGTCTAACAGTGAGGACTTGCAATTGATTTCCCTGTTTATCAGTTACTGATGGCTGTTCAGAGTCAAAACGAATCTGGGCTCTTACTTTTGACAGAATGTCTCTTCCTAACAGAGGGTAAGGGCATTCTGGGATACCCGGCCCACACCAAGGTCCACTGTTCTTCGGGTAGTCCATGAATACTGTTATTGCCCTGTGGCACCCATTACCCAAGATGTTTTGTCTTTTAATTTTCCTAATGGCTATATCAGCATGGAATGCTCCACTCTGGTATCCATCAGAAATTCAACTGGTCACCCCTCCACTTTCAAAGTTACCCTGGGCTCGGGGAGGGGGTCTGAACCCTATCTCCCCTAATCTTCATCGTCCCCAGGGCTAGGTCCTTTGACCCCTTGTTTCTCTTCTTGGGGCAGTCCTTTGCCCAGTGCCCTTTCTCTTTACAATATGCACACTGGTCCTTGTCGAGTGGGGTCCTGTTGCCCAGGCTGTCTAGGGCCTGTTCTAAATTTCCTAACATTTCTCTCTCTCTCTTTGCTATTTTTCCCTTCAACCACTGCAGCCAAGATTTTAGTCAAATTCTTTTCCTGTCTTCTGTCACTCTGTTTCTCTCTCCCCTTTTCTCTGTCTCTCTCTTTCCTCTTTCTCTCTTCTCTCTCCTTCTCTTCCTCGGTCTGCCTTTTGTAATACACTTTCTCTGTCTCTTCTCTCTCCTTCTCTTTTCTCTGTCCTCTCTCTCTCTCTCTCTCTCTCTCTCTCTCTCTCTCTTCGCTTCCTC